AGCCACGTTGGCCTCAAAAGTGTTAAGGGACAGTGTGGAAGGGCCCAAATCATAACCGTCAGACTGGGCAGGGAAACTTGAGTTCTGACGACTCGCCCTGAGGACCAGTCATGGACTCTTCCCATTCGACCATGTCCACACGTAATGCTTGGGCTCTTACTTAATGTCTACTTGCTTAAGAAGAAGGCCAAGTATTCTTTTTCAGTCATTAAAACCTGCGAAGACCCCTGCTTGTTAACTGTGCCTGATGAGGAGGAGTTTGCATGGTAATGGACTTAGTTTATGAGGCAGATTGCAGGGTGAAAAGTGCCTGGTAAAGCTTGGCCACCTTCCCTAAGCTTTCTCTTCCATTTCAGGCTTTCAGAGATAGAAAGCAAAGGGGGAGGTTATTACATACCTTGAAAGGATCTAACAAGGGGCAGAGATGAGCACTGCTGGGTTAACACCACAGGGCATGCCCTCGTGGCAGTGAACAAAGGCTTATTTTATGTGGGAAGGGCAGGCACTGCATTTTTGTTTTCATGGTGCCTTTTGACCATAATGTTCTTTGCAGACTCTGTGTGTCCATCTCAAAGAATACAGTTGACCCTAGGGGCGCCTGGTGGCTCAGTCGGTTGAGTGTCAACTCTTGATTTCTGCTCAGGTCATGATCGCAGGGTCATGGGATTGAGCCCTATGTTCCATGCTCAGCGCAGAGCCTGCTTAAGATTCATTCTCTCTCTCTCTCTCTCTTTCTTTCTTTCTTGCTCTCTCTTTCTCTGTCCCCCTCTCCTTCTGCTGCCTCCCCTGGCCTTCTGCCCTTGTCCTTATCTGTTCTCTCTCTTAAAAAAAAAAAACAAAAACAAACAGTTGACCCTAAACAACATGGGGGTTTAGGGGCACTGCCCCCCCCTTCCCCCGCCCCTGTGCGCAGTGGAAGATTTGTTATGTTATTTTTTACTCCCCCCAAACCACTAATAGCCTATTGGTGACTGAAGCCTTACTGATAACAAATAGTCGACTAACACATATTTTGAATGCTATATGCATTATATACTATATTATAATGAAGCTAGAGACAAGAAAATGTTACAACCATAAGGAAGAGAAAATACACTTACAGTACCGTTTGGTGTTTATCAAAGAAACTTCACATGTAAGTGGACCTGCACAGTCAGTCCTGTGGTGTTCAAGGGTCAAGTGCAGATTGTTTGGTCCCATTCATGAAGAAGGGAGTCACATCCACTGAATTTAGAGGAACAAGTACGTATCTGGGTTTGGGGATTTTTTTTTCCCCTTTAAGGAATCCAGACCTTAAATTCCTGTGTGTGTGTGTGTGTGTGTGTGTGTGTGTGTGTGTGAGAGAGAGAGAGAGAGAGAGAGAGAGAGAGAGAGAGAGAAACTATACCTGTTCAGCTCATGAAGAGAATATCAAATGTATTGACTTTTAAAAAACAAATCCTGGGGGCACCTGGGTGGCGTAGTCGGTTAAGCGTCCGACTTCAGCCAGGTCATGATCTCGCGGTCTGGGAGTTCGAGCCCCGCGTCAGGCTCTGGGCTGATGGCTCAGAGCCTGGAGCCTGTTTCCGATTCTGTGTCTCCCTCTCTCTCTGCCCCTCCCCCGTTCATGCTCTGTCTCTCTCTGTCACAAAAATAAATAAACGTTGAAAAAAAAATTTTAAAAAAAAAATAAAAAACAAATCCTGGGCACCTGGCTGGCTCAGTCAGTAGAGCATGCGACTCTTGATCTTGGGATTGTGAATTCAAGCTCCATGTTGGGCATACAGATTACTTTTTAAAAATCCTCATAAATGTATGGAAAGATATATTTGAATTTGGTTATTTTTCAAATAAGCACCTTTCTTTTCTGGTATAGGAAGAGCTGCAGGCAGCTTTTTGATAGGGAAATTATCAGATTGTGTGCTTTTGTGAACGGACCTATCTTTCCAGGGTAAACACCCTGGTCTCAATGTTGGACGAGAGCCTGTGGGGTCCCAGTTGCCCACAAGGGCCTCGTGTGTTCACCATGGGATTCACTTGGCATTTGCAGCTGGAGTGCTGGCCATGCCGTTCTTGGAGAGCATGGGAGGCAGCCCCAAATGCTGGAGGAGATTGAGGGGTTATTAATGAAATTCCTTGGAGGTTGTTCCATGGATTCCCCCTTGAATATGAGCTCCTTGAGGACAGGAGTCCAGCCTGGGTCTGCTCTGTGTTCCCCACAGGTCAGGCTTATAGTTTGTGTGGGTCAGCACAGGGTGTGTTGAGAAAATGCACAAGCCTGGCCTTTGCTGGGGCCTTGGGTTGTATCTTTGCTCCCCAAGGAGCCAACCCCAGAACTTCTCAGTGGACCTCTGTTAGGATAATTGTAGGAGGGGAGGAGGCTTTGAGGTTGCTCTGTCACCCACCCTGGTTGTAGATTGTGCAGAACATGAAAATGTCTATTTACTGGCCGTCTGAAAATGCTGTTCCACAAAAGAAGGCTCAGAGTGTAACAGAATTTGTTGAGATTTCCAGGATCTGAAACCTATACTTTATTTCTGCCTGTGGATATAAATTAGGTCTAATGACAATTTAGGTGTGCATACTTAAGTTAATATTTGACTTTTGATTTAAAAAGTCAGAACATTATCCAGAGATCAACAGACTAAACATTTCAGTGACTCCCTTCTAGCTGTGGAGAATACTGGTGTTAAGTGAGAAGGTTGGGGGTGCTGATTTTATAGATGACCAATGCATCAGCAAAGGTGCCATGTAGTTATGCTTAGAGGGTATAGGTAGGTGTTGAAGGAGCATGTGCTGCACGTGGGCTCAGGCACAAGGCATTTTGAGTGCCCCGGCTACTGACTGGGGTTGGAGGAGGGGCCAGAGCTAGGACAGCCAGCCTAATCCTAGACAGTTGGGCTGGGGTGAGGGAATGGTGGGGGAGGTGCCAGGTCAGAGTTCAGCCTCAGTGGGGGGAACTGGCGTGTCATGAAAAACCCAGTAGCGGGGTGCCTGGGTGGTTCTTTTGGTTGAGTGTCCAACTTTGGCTCAGGTCATGATCTCAGGGTTCACAAGTTCAAGCCCCGTGTCGGGCTCTGTGCTGTCAGCTCGGAGTCTGGAGCCTGTTTCGGTTTCTGTGTCTCCCTGTCTCTCTGCCTCTCCCCCACTCGCACTGTCTCTTTCTCAAAAAAAAAAAAAAAAAAAAAAAAAAAAAAAAAAAAGTAGCTACTGATCATTTTTTGTCCTGTGCCAGGGACTCTCTGTTTCTTAGTTATTCTCCTTTTCCTATTTCATAGATGAGGCTATGATTAAGGACTCAAAGATTAAGGATTTTTCTAAATATCCAAAGCCCCTGAACCCCAGGACTGAAATCTGAGTTTGTCTGACTCAGAGTGCATGGTCCTTGTGGAAGTCCACCTGCCTCTGGATGGGGAATGCGGGGGACCCGATCCCCGAGAGCTGTGATGTGGGGGGGTATGACTGACTGGGTATCTGCCCTATACCAGCCTGGGACTCTGTACCAAGCAGATTTAGTACTCAGAAGGGCTGTGCTTCAACTGAGGGTCCAGATATGTCAAAACCACAGCTGCAAGGTGTTGTCACAGGGACCCTGGGATAGCTGAGTCCCTGCAGTTATGGGGCTGCGCACAACAGTCCCCCTTACTAATGAATTGGCCACTTATAAACTATAAAATCCGTTCCCGTCCCCCTCAGCACCTGTGGACCCTCTCAGGTAAGACCATTGTCTCCTCACAACCATTGCCTCAGGTCTGGGCTGACTGTTAGAAATCTGGGAATACGATGGAAATGGAAATTTACTGTAAGTCAATTGCAGAGTGACACTGCAGATCTTGCAAAAGGTCCAGTGTGTCAGGAAGACACTGAAGGTAGCGTTATAGAACTCTTGGTGCTCCCACACGGACAAATGAAGGTCTGAGAGAATGCCCGCTTACTGTTGAAGAGCAAAGACTGTTCTAGATGACTGCTTTAGAAAGGATTTGATACCAAAAGATTAAGAAAGCTTCTTCAAAAATTGATGAAGCCCTTGAATAGTTGGCAAAAATGACCTTTCTGATTATCTTATTAGAAGTAAAACATAAAGCGAAAGGTAGTTCAGAAAAAGTACACACAAGACAGAAGTTAAAACATGTTTCATTTTTTGTTCTTTAGGACAAATTAGAACATGGTTATAACTGCATGTTCTTAACCTAATTTTATCAAATGTATTATAAAATAGGCTTATCCTTCTCATTTTAGTCCCTTTTTTTCAAAGTAAAGACCCAATCGGATTTTTTCTATCCACCCTCCTCAGCCAAACCATTTATTATGAAATGATGGTCTTTGTTCAAATGGATTGATTGTAAAGTTACCAGCCACCATGCAACGCTGGTCCCTATACCAGATATTCTGTTGACTAGGGCCTGTTCTTATTTTAATCTGGCAAAAGAAACTAGATTAAGGAGGTTTTAGCAGATGGTTTGCAATTCTTTAGCAGCCCGGAAGAGTCCATATCTTGCCTAATCGTGCCCTGATATCTATTCTTACTGGTGTGTGAGAAACTCTCCTAAAGGAGTAATGTCTTCCAGAGATCACAACTTTTTTTTTTTTATCACATCCTAATGATTTTCAGATTTTATTTAATATGACTTTAAAATTTAGTATTTATCAGTTAACCTGGTTCAGACCACTGATATTTGAATACTTAACAGTATTATCTAATGCTTTAGAAAAACTGCACACAGTATCCAAGTTATATACTATAAGAGGCACCTCGTCTTTTTTGAGGGAATCCTAGCATAAAAGGATCACCTTCCCTGATCACCATAAAGCGGCCCTATTAACCAGGGAGAATGCTCAGGACTCAGCAAGGCAAGATGGGCTTGGCATTCAGGGTGCAGGCTGGGAACATGGCAGCCTCTTTAAGATAGCTCGTGTCAAGTCTTTTTTTTTTATTTTTTAGAACAGTTTCAGATTTACAGAAATGTGTGATCCATTTTACAATGCGGTTTTAACTCCTAGGTTTTTCCCTCTCTCTGCAGACGTCGCCTCATTTCCCAGAGATCATCCTTGGAAACCCTGGAAGATATTGAGGAGAATGCCCCTCTACGGAGGTAAGTTTTTACTGTTGCATGTAAATGGCCTGCATTACAATACAGCAAAGTTTGATTTTTTTTTTTTTGTCCTTAATCTACAGAATTAAAATTTTAAAATAATGGCCTCATCTCCAGACTCATAGTTTGGAAATCCCAACCCTGAGGACCATTAGGGCACTATTAAATCTCAGTTATGTATTGGAAAAGCGCAGTTTGCATGTGGATTTGGGTGCTGTTTGCTTTTCAATTTGAAAGCTGCTGCTTGATGAAGACGAGCCCATTATTGTCTCAGCTTTCTTAGGTTCAGTGACACAGTAATCAAGTCCTGGACTTCATTAGCAAGTGCCATCAGTAGTTGCTGGGGAAACTCAATTAGGATCGCCCTGGGGGCTTCTTTGGGGCTGAAAGTGATTTTTCCATTGGGATTAGAAAGGTGCTTGCGAGGCATCTGTGTTTGGGTGACGGCAGTTGCTGAGCTGTGCCAGGCCTCTGGCAGCTGTCCTTCCTCTAATCCTGCACCTTACCACCAACCCCCTTCTGTGCCTTGGTCCCCCTGGCCCTCCGTCAGTGAAGGAGGCGGTATTCACACAGGACTTCTCCTTTAGTCTTTGCGGCAAGGGAGCTAGGTTGGCCTGCTCGCGAAGGAGGTGAGGCAGCCTAGAACACGGTGGTTTCACAGGGCATGCGCCAAGGTCTCACGGGGCATGCGTGGCTGATGGCGCAGAGGGAGGCTCGCGGGAGAACGTGCATTCCCATTGGCTCGCACCAGCTTCCAGAATCTATGTCTGCATACCTTGTGCTTTAGGCCCTGGCTACGGCTGGGGAGTGAGGGCATTTGGGAGGATGCCGGCATAGGTCTCACCCTGGAGCCGTTCCCTTTCCCGCCGGAGGTTTCACTCCCGGGTTAGTCCTGTCCACAGACCTCCTGGATGGAATGTGGAGCATAGACAGGTGGGGGGATCTGATCGAAAGTATTGGGTAACTGTGAGTCTCGCCGGTGATGTCATCCCAAAGAGAAAGTCCGGGCCACTTTTGAAGTCTTTCTGAAAACGTACGTAACCTCTGGGATCATCGTAGGGTGAGCGTGTGGCTGTGGGATTAATGTGGCTTGGGTGCAAGTGTTCTTCTATCCCTTACTATTAAATGTTGAGAGAAGCTCTTTCCTGAAGTAGCCGTACAAAAAGCTGCATGAAAAGTCCACTTAAGGAGCTGGCTCTGGTCCAGAGTAATCCTCGAGAGTGGAGGAGAGAGGTTCTCAGGTGGCACTGAGCGGCTTTTGGCATTTGGGCAGGTAAGGTCACTCCTGCCACAAACGGGAAATCAATGAATAGCACTAAAAAGCTCCTGGTATTTCTAGAGGCTGTGAGAAGCCTCGGTTAAAGCAGTGTGATAGCTGTGAGTCAAGGAAAACCAGGTAAAAAAAAATGTTACTGCATCCTTGGGGATTCCAGGTGGTTACAGCAGGGGTGGGGGAGGGCGAGGAGGAACTACGTGATGTGTTTCTGGTCACGTGTCACGTTTCTGGTCACATGCCGCTTGGTCACCTCTGTACCCTCCTCTCAGAATCTCTCAGGCTGATCCTCTGCCCTCTACCCCTCAGCCCTACCATACCACGTTTGAGCATACTGAAAAGGGCTTATCTGCCTTAACTATAACTTTATCTAATACTTACTTATAGAATACTATACTTAAATTCCAAAAAGTCTCATGTAAATATAAAATTTAAAAAACAAGTCTGAAACCAAAGGAATTTGGGCAGTTTGAGAAGGCTTTATTTTCCCTATTAGACTTTTCTGAACTTAAAAAAAGTTCTAATATTTACTTAGAAATGATGAACACTGGGTGATGTATGGAATTGTTGAATCAGTATATTGTACACCTGAAACTAATGTAACACTGTTAATTATACTAGAATTAAAAATAATAACTACCTTAGAAATGTACTTATTCCTAGGAAGTAAAATTGACATGGTATAGAAGGGATGTTAGTTTGGGAGTCAGGGGGCCTGAATTCTTGGTCTGATCCTTCTAGCTGGTTATGGCCTTGGACATTTTATTTAGCTTCTCTGGGGCCTCAGTTTTCCCATCTGTAAAATGGGAGGGGAAATTGATCTCTAAGGTCCTCTCCAGCTCCCAATTTTGTGAAATGAATGTACCAGTAATGACACTGAACTGTTTTGGGAACTGTGGGGGTGGAAGGCTATTAGCCCAACTTGCTTTTAAACTCAGCACATTGAACAAATGGCTGCAAGGCATCTATTAAAAACCTTTTGCATAATTAAGTGTATCCTGTAATCAGTGCTAACAAGAAAGAGCTAATCTTTCATTAAATTAGTTTTTAATTTAATTCTATCCTAATTTAATTTTGCATCACTTAAAATGTATGTTTTTAAATGGGTACTGAAATTAATTCGTTCTTTGCTTAACCTGCCACAAGCTGAGTGCTTAGTCTTCCAGTTTCCTTGGCAATTGTTGCTAATGCCACAGTTCTCTTTTAAAGCATTTCTTAGATTCTCTGGTGGTTGAGTTGAATGCTTTAAAAAAAAATGCATGACAACAAACAACTTGCTGAAGGAGAGGCTGGATTAATAGCATATTCCCTTATAATCATGTGCTGATATGTTATCTTTTTCAAAGGCTTGCTTGTCTCTGGCACATCACAGTTTGCTAGTAAGTTAGGGTCCTGCACCTACCTAGAATGAATTAAGCATTCACAGAGTATTTAGACTGAGGAGTTTTCCACCTGCCTGGTGGTTACCTGGTATCCTAGTATTAAGGACTTGGGACATTGCTACGAGGTGCCCAGAAAAACCTCAGTTCAGTGGTGGCAAATTTGGCAGCTGTCTCCACCTGCTCCTATTTTTCAGCCTGTCTCAGTTGGCTACTGCACCATAAAGTGTTAACTGATGCCCCCTCCCTTCCCTGTGAGTGGCAAAACCACCTGTGGCCCTTTTGCCACCTTCCAGTTCTAGCAGAAGATGGGGGGGGGGGGTAGTTTGTGTTCCAGCCTGAAGGGTAACAAACAGCTCTTCTTTTTGCAGGCATGGGAGGCAGAGAGAAGCTCAGGTCTTCTGTCTTCTGGGCTGGGCTGGGTACCAGCTTCCTGCTGCTGGGGGCAGGAGTACCTATCCACTGCCACCACAGTCTAGCTCTTGGCTCACTGCCCTCCGTCTGGGTGGCTCAGGAGGCTCTCCTTTTTGGGAGGAAGCAGGGTAAGGGTGTGAGGACACTCCTGGATACTTAGGCCCTATCCAGAAACCAAAGGAAGCATAACCTTCTGCTTTCAGAGATTCTCTTCTCTCCAGTGGCTATGTCTCTAGAATCTTCTGCAGTGTGTGTGAGAGACAATTGGGGACCTTGGGTGGGCTGCACCTCAAAGAGTCATTTTGGAGATAGAACTGAGGCAGTTTAGGGTCCTGGGTCTGCTTCCGGGAAGCCGCCCAAAGAAGGCAGAGTGAGGTTCCATGCCCTTGAACATCAGTAAGACTAAATCTAACTTTGGAACCCTGGATTAGGAAGGGGTTGATGGGTGCCGTCTATTCAAACCCTGCCTGAAGGCCACAGGAAGCATCTACTAAATACAGGTCTTTAAAAGAATCTGTCTTAAACCAAGAATTCAGGACCCTTAGTCACAGCTGCAATTGTAAGAATATAGGAAGCAAATAATAACAAAATATGCATCCTTTGTAGCTAATGGTTGGTTAATCACAGCACTGAAATTTGTGTATGAATATTTACATGTGTATACACTCGTATGAATGTGAATGCTTGTATTTGAATGTGTCACTGCTTGTATTTGAATGTGTCACTTGACAGTTTATGACTCTCTCCTATGTATTATTAACATTTCATCCTCACAACAACGCCAGGAAGGATCTGAAATATTACTAGCGATAGGTCAGGGTGTCGGAATTGGTAGTGAGTTTGGGGCTGAAGGAAGGGAAGACTGGTTTCTGAAGTGTCTTGCAGGGCCACACGGGCCCTGAGCATGGTCCACGGACCCTGCCTTGATGTAGTGGACATGATTTGAAGGGAGGCTTTCCTTTGTGAAAGCTACCAGGTATCTGATCTGATGTCTCTGCTTTAGCCTGTACTGCATTCACTTCAGTATGATTTTTTTTTTCCTTCAAATTAAATGGAAAAAAAAAAAAATCATTCTC